ACACACACACACACACACACACATTCAAACATTCATGCAAAACCTTGAGTACTCTAGAGGCATGAACTAATAATAAGGCTGTCTGATGAACATTTTAATCGTACAGAGCGGCCCGTCAGAAGAATGAATAATTATACTGACTCACGTCAAAGCTTTAGACCCATTGCCAGTGACAAAATATCAAGAAATATGAACTAAACATTTGAGGCCAAGTATAAAACAACCTCCACTATACCACATCCACTCTGTGTGATACACCTGCTGTGTGTCTCACCTTGAGCAGCAGCTGGTATTTGGTGAGACGTTGGACCGGCTTCAGCAGGTACGAATCCAGGCCCAGTTTGTGCTCCAGCTTTTTTTGACATTCCTTCAGAGGAAAAATAAATATAATTATTTTTCTTTAAGATTGCAAGATAGAGCTTTTTTAACATGTTTACTTATTTCCTACGGAGAAATGCACAGATTTCAAAACTGTAGTAGTACAAAGAAATATTTAATATTTACAGTACTTGAACATATACTGTATATATTGACAACAAGCAAATCTAAAAAGTTTAATTGCTGCTGGGAATCATGGTAAAACTGACCTGAAAGAAGGCACAGTCAGAGAACTGTCTCCACAGCGCATCCGAGCGTGGCTTATTCTGACAGTAGCACTCATACATTTCAAAACTCTCTTTCTGGAAGAGACAGAGAAGATTCTCGATTCGTTTGAAAATTATCAATCAACAATATGATCAAAATTTTAAGAAGGTCACAACATGGTCATATAAAATATTTCTCATCTCACCCGCTTCAGAAAACAAGCTCCCACGCCTTCAGGAGCCTCCAGGCATCCTTCCAGGTCCTGAAGGAAGACCCTGGATTCACAGAAAGGTCAAAGGTCGCACATCACGGTCAGTATAGTGGTGAATGCAGTTTGTTGTGTTTCACTACAGAACCCACTGTGAATATATAACGTAACTAGAGTAATGACAGAAGTGAAGAAAACTCAAGAAAGCTGGAGATTTTTGATTGTGTATTAAATGAATGAATCACTCGTTTCTCACATTGTAATATTACTTTGACTGTTTCTTTTTATTTGAATCATTTATTTTACTAATTACTAATGTCTCATTAAATGCTATTTTCTATTGTCTTACGTTGCTTTTACCATTTGTCATGATGCTTTATTTGTCTTTTGTTTAGCTTTTCTTATCTCATCTCATCTTGTGCAATTTTCTTTTCTTTATAAACAAACTTATCTTGCCTAGCTGTATTAGGTTAAGTATTGATGCTAACTTTATTATTCCAATTTTCAAGCACAATATCAGCTTTGAGTCTTCCTTTGAAATGATTCTGTTAATTTACTCTTTTTCTCACATGACAGATAAAACTCTGTGTCTCTTTCTGTGTGATGCGTGTGGTGATCAATGTGTGTTATCAGACATGCTCCTCTTTGTATGTTCAAATAGTTTTACAGTATGTTTGATACGTGTCATTAATCACTTGCCTGCTGTGAAAATTGTAGATCTCGGGCATGTTTCCAAACAGGATGTCTCGCTTGCTGCGCAGAATCGGGGGCAGAAGCACTGACAGAACTGGGTTCTCCATCTGAGCCCTGTAACCCTGCATTATTTAATCACAGCAACACATTAAAGGAAGTGTAATGTTTACGTATATATAAAAAATATGTATCATCAGGAATAATTTAACATAAAAACATCAGTGTAGACCATACAGACGACATGCAAGCAGCAGGGTTTACAATATTTATATTTGTGGGACATGCTTAAAAGAAAAAAAGTGTGTTTTCTCACCAGCAGCACTGACAGCAGCTCTTCAGCATAGATCCTCTCAGTCTCTATGAGTTCCCTCATCACATGTCTGTGTCACAAACACACAGGAGTAGACAGAGAGAGAAGCCAGAGGGCATCGTTAGCTCTGAACAAAGAGAATCACAAAGTCAACAACATCAAGAGCAGCGCTGAGGACAAACAGATGGACTGACGCCTCGTCCTCACCGCTTCAAGAGATCGGGGCTGTCCTCTCCCTCCAGGCTGTACGACACACAGCCCCGGCTCTCCTGGTAGTCGTGGATCACCTCGATCTGAACACACCACATGAGGACAACACTGATGCTTCCATTTTTAATTCAGAAGTAAAATATAGTATTATATTGAAAAAAGAAAATGATTATTCAATGAAGTTGTGATAAAGGAAGATAATATATTGATAAACAATAATTAATACTTAATTCTTTTGTTTTTCCTTACTTTTCTAGGGTTGGGGCTCTTTCGGGACGCTCTCTTCCCAGGCAAAGAGAGGTCGAATGTGAACTTCAAACCATCACCTGTGTGAAGCAGATCACAAGCAGCAGCAGCAGCTCATCAAAGAGGATCATTCACACGCACCGTATATTCCCATATGCTCTGATGAGGAGGACATAGTTCATTTGAGCGTCCATATTAAATCAAATGCAATTATTTTTTTATGACCATGTGCACAGAGTGAGCACAAAGGGATTTGCTTGCCCTGCCGATGACCCTTCCTTTTTAATTCCATAATAATAAAAAAAACATAAATCGCTGATGATGAACATGTGAGCTAATCAATGATAACAGGCTGCTTCCTTTAACGGTTCAGTGCGTACACATCTACACACGTTCATTCTCCTTCTGATCCTATAGAAGCTGAATCCTTACATGATAGTCCAACTAAGTGTCGTGCCACATTATAGTCATACATGTATGTGCGTGCACGTGCCGCGTGTGTGCTTGTACCAGATCAAATCAATCAAAGATAACAACTGTTTCCTTCACCTCGTCACTTAAATAGCTGCTGCTCGGAGCGTCATCACCTCCCTCTGATTGTTATGACTCTCATTAGTTTTGCTTCCTAAAGTGGAGAACAAAGCCTTAAAGACATGAATGGACGTAGAAAGAAATCCTGTTTATCCTTTTACACTGACCTGATAGAGACGTGTTCAGTCACATGACAGATTCAAATACAATCTCACCAGATACAACACATACAGTATTAATGAGGTACTAGTGTATACGGCCAGCTTTGTGCACCTTCCCATGAGACGCAGAGGAACATGAAAGGCTCTTTAATGTATATGAACCACATATGGTTCTATAGCAGCTATCTGGACTAATAGAGCAGTCACATTTTTCCCAGTGGACTGATTATACCATCTACCCTTGTTCCAGCTTGTTTGTAAAGGTGGACTGCTAACCCCAGAGCCCGTTCAGGAACACCTTGGGCCTGCTCAGTGGGACCCTGTGATGTGTTAATTCAAGCACTGTGTCTAAAGGAAAGATGCAAGAGGGAGAGGGATAGGTGCCAGGCCCTACGGGGGTGGGATGAGACCCCATACTGGGCCTGGGAAACAGGGGTGGGTGGGTATAGGGAGTTAGTTCATTTGTGAAAAGTAATGTGCTGAAAACTGTAGCTCACAAAACGCTGCCAAATCACGAGTAAGATAAGTGTGCATGAGCGAAATGACAAAATCTGTGTGTGTGTGTGTGTGTGTGTGTGTGTGCGTGTGTGTGTGTGTGTGTGTGTGTGTGTGTGTACCATGCTTGGGGGAGAAGAGTGGGGACTTGGAGCGTGGTGGGTTTTCAGGCCTGGGTGTGACCAGTTGGACCGGTCGGACGTGTTTATCAGCCAGCTTCCTCAGACAAGCCTGTCGGTTCTGGATCATCTGCTGCAGCGCTGCATGCTTCTCAAATGTTTTCCCAATCTGGGCCTAACAGAGAGGCCGAAGGGGGGAGGGGAGGAAGAAAGGATGAAGAGGTTCACTGAAATGTGATAAATAAAATAAAATATCTTTCTGACAGCAGCTGCACTGTATACTTGACGCTTTTAGTTCTATTAACGTCAAGCCTCGTGTGGGGGATCTAACCTGCAGATGAGGTGTGATGACAGACTCATATTCAATGGCCACGATGTCAGGTCCTGAGCTGAGAATAGACGGCGCCCTCTCCAGTAACTTCTCAATGTCCCTTAAAGCAGCTTGAGCCCCCTCCTTAGACTGGAAGTTTTCTACCAGCTGATTGGCCAGCAGGTACGCTCCATCATCACACCAGATTTGGGCCTGAGGGTGGAGAGCAGACGTGCATCAGTGCACAGTGAAATGTGAATGCGTGTCCTGATATGTGTGTAAAGAGACGTCTCAGTACCTGATCCAGACAGAGCAGCAGCTGGTGTGTGTGCAGGAGGTGAGAGTGTTTGGTCTTCAGAGCAGCGTTCAGTGTGTCACAGTGGTGGCGAAGCTCGTTGCAGCGCTGCATAATGAGAGCCACGGCGAAGTGGTGACTGGCTGAAAGCTGGTGTCCGTGAAGGATGATGATCTGAGCTCGAGCCACCACCTCCTGGCACAGCCGACAAAGGACGGAGACAGTTTTAACTCAAATTGTTTAATATAAGTGACATTATTTACACATGTTTGCAGCCTGATTGAGAAAACACTGACCTGTGCATTAGACTCCAGATTGTCCAGCCTTTTGAGAGCCTGTTCTGCCTGAGCCGGAGTGTCTACAGAGACAGACAGCTCCCTCTCCTCAGCCGTCAGATGCTCCAGACACATCTCCATCTGAACAGGAAACACACAAACACCATCACATACACATGGAGTCAAAAGAAAAACAGGCTGAAGTCGACCTGGTGACTCGAAGAACAAAAGTTCACTCCAAGCATTGAGTCTTAATGTGAGAGATCGGATCTCAATTCTTGTCTTATTATGGAAATATAACAAGTGGATCATTTCTGTGCCAGTCTGACCACGATGGAGGCAACCCACATTAATATTTGTGTGTTAAACAAGGAAATGTTTCTCATGGTGGCTGAAATGATCCTTAGGGGAGGATAGGGGCAGGTGCATGCAGACACAAACAAACATATGAAACATGTCAATGTGAAATCCTCACCTCCTGGAAGCTCTGCTCGTATTTCAGCAGCTGCAGGTACTGGTGCAGTTTCAGATGATGCTTCTCAAAGAAGCCGTCAAACGCCGACTCCATGTCTCTGAGCTGAGCCAGAAGCCTACAAAGAACGGGACTTTGCCATAGCCATGTGTAAAGTAATCAGTTACATATTTACACATCAACTATGAGAATATAAAGCTAAATAATTTTCTTTTTTCAAGACAATTGTTTAGATTGTTTTTTTGCTATTTGTCTTAAAAATACACTTATGAACTTATGAAATAGAAGAAAGACAAAGGCTCTCGAAGGTGTTTTACCTCTGTACTGTCTCCCAGTCCAGCTTCACATCCCACTGAGAGTCATCGTCCCTCCCAGACGCCTCCAGGCTGGAGAGAAGATGACGACCTTCCTTTGACACTGACCTGATTGCGTCCTGTCAAAAAGACAAGAGATAAAATATATTATAAATGAGCTGTGTTCGAAATAGTGCTTAATAAAATATCATTGTGGTCACTTTAACATCTCATACCTTGAGTTTCCTGTACTTGTCAGTTTGCGACTCCAGAAGACACTCGATGGCCTTCCCCTTGTCTGGCAGTTCCGTCTCTGCCAGCTCCGTCCCAAAGCCCTGCAGCATCTGAGCAATGTCTTTGACTGTCACAGCAAAACTTTCAATAGCCTGGAGTGGAAGCAAAAAACACAGAAACACCACAGATGTGTTATATTTCAGGTGAAAGGAGGTGAACAAGCTATGTCTTTAACATACAGAGATTTGTGGATTTCTGATGACGAGGTGGATCAGTGTCCAGGGAGAGAACAAAAACACAACACAACATTTATGAGTCACAATCCTATTCCCACAATTCCCTGCAGCAGCTTTATCAGCTGGATAAAAAAAAGCACAGTAGCTCAGTCGTATGTGAGCATCAGAAAACAAAAGAAAGACACAGACGGAGGATGACAGTAAGAAGCACTTTGATGTTTGGTCTCGGTGTGTTTCAGGACAGATCTGCAGCGTTTACCGTTCGTAAAACAATCCAGTCACTGTGACAATAATCCAAAGTGCCTCCAAACTCTGACGTCAGCTGGTTCTCACTGATGTAGCGCAGCAGGTCTGTCACAGAGCTCAGCATCACCACCTGGAGGTGCAGAGAACAACCAAGAATTAAAAAAGTAGGTGTCTTTAATACACTGGAGGAAATATGACCTGCTCATTAAAAGACATATTAACACATTAGCTTATATAAAGTTGATTGTTTCATTCATTTGCATATTTCTGTAAATGTGGCAGATGTGATTTTTAACTGCAGCTCTTTGGAAAGATGTTCTTATTTTACAACACAGGACAACATGGTGAATATCCCTTGTACATTTGAAGGTCTTCCTCTGAGATGTGAGCAGCCTCCGGCGGATCACCACCGGGGGATCAGGGTTAAATGTTACATAAAAAAATGATCACGAAAATCATGTGTCTCTTAAAAATATCTGGAAAAAAAGTCTGAGTTTCACTTTTTTGATGATAGAAGTAGTACGATCAATACAAATATTGGCTCCTTATCTGATGTACACCTGCAAACTTTTTTATCATTGTTTTAATAGTTTATTTATTTATACACTTAAATCTACATGTGTTCTTGGCTGCATCCACCACAGGACACTTCACTCATGGAGATCAGGGTCATGATGCAGCTTGTTGTGATGTGGGACATGTTTGGTGACTGAGCTGCCTTACTGGCATTTTGAGCATGAAGTCCTCTTGGCTGAAGCGGAAGCCGATGTCAGTCACAGTGCGGTGGAAGAAGCTGGTGGGTCGGAGCACCAAGACCAGGTGGAGGTTCCCGGGAAAAGACGCCTGGAGGAGGGAGAAGATGCTCACTGTCATATTAATGATGGAGGAGGAATGAAGCAGAAACTTTGGATTTAAGCTCACTGGTGTGCTCACAACACATATTTTCTAACATGTGCACCTTTAAAAAGTAGCACAACACAGGAGGAAGTGAGAGCACTGAATGGTTTAAGGCCAGAATACATTTCTGATCAGATCATCTGGAACAGGTCTGTCCTCTGTCCCCAGAGACAAAACTACCTCTATCTCTGACATGAGGGACGTGAGGTCTCAGCTCCTGTCACTCTGAAGATCAGACTAATGGATCCAAGGTTCAGTCTTTACAACATTCACACGCGTCATAAGCTGCATTAAGTCTTCAGGTGGTTTGAGGTCATGATTGTGCAGAAATTTCTGTTCAGCTTTTGCTTCATAGTCAAGACACACAGGTTCCATTGCAACGGCAAAGATGTGGTTTACCTGCATCTGTAAATGAGTGGTGATATGCACACAATAGAAGACAATGATTTTGATCAATAAAGTAAGAAGACCTACATTTCATTTGATTTATTTTAAGCTCACTTGCGTCACACAGGTAGAGTAAATAGAAAAAGGCTCTGGATCAATGCTCACACCTCAGAACCTGCAGCAGATCATAATCCACCACTGCTCCTGGAAACAACTGTCTATTTGCACGTGACGCGACTTTTGACATTGGTTCGTCCTGACTCCGCCGCAGAGGTCGACTCATCAGACTGCTGGGCGTCAGGATGTAAACACGCATTAAAATACCACGCATCGGGTCTCACGCACAGCGGATTGCATGACTCAGCAGCGGTGCACCGCAGTGCATCAGTCGGACAGCAGCAGCAGACTCTGCCGCATTCACCCTGAGCCCGCCCCCCCCAAAAAACTTCAGCCTAAACTCTTCACCCGGAGGATTCATTCAAACCCATCGGCGGATCGTTACCGGGCTCCTCCGGATCCTCGGCACTCCGCGCCGGTAGAAGCAATCGGCCATGGTGTTGGAAGTCATCCCGGTGAAGTGTTCAGCTGGCCCGCTGGATGTATCGGTGCCTGCGGCTGGAAGGTGTGCAGCTCCGCGGCTGCCGGAGCTCAGCCGCAGCTCTGCCGCTGCTGCTGCTGCCTCTCAGACTGAGGGTGGCAGCGCTCACTGCAATGTTTCCCTCCCTCCCTCCTGACCTGCCTCCTCTTCCTCCTCTTCATCCTCAGCTTCCCGCGTCATCACTCAGTTTTTGCTTACTCATTCATTTGCAGCAATAAGCAATGAGACGTTCAAGAACATGCACAGGATTGAGGCAGCTCTTTAAACTGCATCATGTGGCAGAATCCTATTCATCAGGCTGAAATCACTCATGTATGTTTGCAAGGTAAAGGATTGATTTAGTGTCTGAGTCCTGCTCAGGGTTCAGCTCCAGGGACTTAATCAAACATCCAGCACGGTCACAGCTCACAGCAGTGATGGTGGCTCATGGTCAGAGATCTCAGACTGTGAATCCCATCGTGACCATGATGGTGGATAACAGGTCATGAATCATGATGGTGGGTCGTAGATTGTGGATTGTAATTGTGATGATGGATTCTGATGGTAGAACGTAGGTTGGGAATTTTAGATGGTGGATTGTGATCGTGGATCTAGATTTTTTAGATTATCATTACAATTGTCATCACTGTTCCCTCCTTCTCTGTTTTCTGACTTTTTTTGACTTTATCATGAATAGTGTTATTTTGTTGATGCGCTCTGCGACATGTGACATCTATGGTACCTATGTCCATCCTGGAAGACAGATCTCTCAATTGAGACTCTCAGGTTCCTACGCTACATCTTTTTCCCTGTTAAAAGTTTATTTATGTAGTTTTACCTCACTGTGGTCGAGGGTTAAGAGCAGAGGATGTATCACCTATATGAGGCAAATTGTGATTTGGGCTGTAAAATTAAAATTTGACTGATTGGTTGAAACAGTGATGGATATTTTCCTTGTACATGATGTCTAAACTGTATTTCTATTAAATACAAATCCCCTAGATGAAAAATAAAACTCACAGCTATCCTGGCGAGTGCAGTTTTGATCGAGGCCCATGTGTCCAGTCTTCTGTCTAAAATGATGATAAATTTCACTCCAGGTTGTCTCGTTCTGCAAGAGAAATGAGGCAGTTGTGTGAAAATGTGATGTTATTCATTGCACCCATTAAGAATATGGTGATTTAAAGCTGGAAGGCAGGAAAATGAGAATTTGCGAGGATTTGCGAGGATTTGCGAGTTAAGAGCAGGTCGAGTGGTAAAATCATGTCTAAAGCTTTAAATTTATATCATTTCAAGGAGTTTTACAACTACATACACCTGTTATTTAAAACTAATTTATCATTCCAAGTAAAAAAAAACAAGGTTTGATATGATTTAATATATTTCACTATATTTTTCCCAATCTCTGAGGCGAGTGAGGTGTGGACGCAGAGGACGTCAGGAGGACATTTGACCGTCAACTGGAGCAGCGGAGGCCAGCTGTGCTTAGAATACAGGCGTTTGGTGCACTGCAGAGAGGGAGAGGCTCAGACAGGAATAAATGAAGCAGGACACACCGAGGGATGAGAGTGAGGTACGTAAACACTTTGGTTAAAGCTTCCTCTGGAATGTCACTGAAAGCTGAGTATTCAGGGAGGGTGATGATGACACTGGAATCTTCCCCACGACCCCCTGGAAATAGAACAAAAGAAATTACTTGTTTTTTATGAAACAAGATTATGTCTAAAGAAAATGTAATAAAGTGAAAAATCGTTTTAAAAGAAATAGACAAAAAGGCCTTACCTGACAGGTAAGCCACCTGTTTCTCTATGTAGCCTCCCACCTCCCTCATGCTCACGGGGACAGTAACCTCTGGAATAAACCAAACATTTCAATCAAAGGATCTGTGGGTGGGAAATGATGTATAAACATAGATGCTTTTTAATTTTCATAAATTTCTCAGGGATTAATTCATGGATCTTGATCGTTGGTGCAGCGAGTCATTCTAGTTGATTCTTGTTGATTTAGCACTAAAATCACACTCTTCTTTCTCTTCTTGGTTATTTCATTCACCTTTTGGTGATTTACTTTAATACATTTCTTCGTTGGTTGCAGCCTGTAACACCTGCACTTTAATCCTGTTTAATGGTCTAAATGTCGTTTCCACCACAGCCACAACAGTGAATCATTTTTCACTGAAGATTTGACATGTGACACAAGTAAATTTAAAAACAACACCTCTCACAAAATATCATCCATCAACCTGTATCCCAAATTTAAAAAAAACACAGCTGAAATCTCACCAATCTAAATCTATTAAATTTACTGTCATAATATTACTGCGTGTACTTCTATGATCATAACAATGACATCATTCATATATATATCGTCTGTATTGATGTTGGTGTAGTGTTTACTGGCAGATGTTCCACATCTCCTGCACGGTGCCATTAGTGTTTGAGAGGCCAATAAATGCATGTAAGTGTCTTATGGAGCCGTCAGTGAAGTTCTAAAGAGGCTTACATCCGACCTCTGCTGAACCGTTCAGTCACATGAGGCTGCAGACACACTGACTTCTGCATCATCCTGAGACTGTTTACATGTGCTCACGTTACATTTACAGTAAATTCAAGGGGCTAGATGAGCATGTGGATATTACATAATGGGGATAATGTCTCTTTAACACAAGCTCACAAAACAGGACACAGTAATAGTTGACACAGCAGAAACAGAGACTGTTGAGGCACAAACGTGTTAAAACCACACTAAACTAAATGTTTCGGTCCCCGTTGAGTTGTTTGTGCAACAGATTAACGGGGAAATAAATTTGCTCACACTTCATCGTTGCCTCATCTATAATGGATACGACATTAAATATGAATTGGAGCAGAGAGAAAAAAATGACAGAACGCAAAAGAAAGAGAGGAAGAGCAAAGGAGGTGTTATTTTCCATGAGTCCACTGCAGTAATAGTGTCGCTCAGGTTGACAGAATGAGCTCCTGCTGGTACCTGCTAAATATTTGATCTGCTTCTGTAACAGAGAGGAGCTGAGCCAAGCCCGGGCCACTGAGGGACCTATGGCTGCATGGGCTGTGCACACACAGGTGGAGGGTTGAGTTACCATCACACCGGAGGAGTTATATAACCGATTGTACCCTGAGCCGCAACAGGCTCAGAAACGTGACACAAGATGTGTTAATGCACATTTTCCATTATACTGTGGGAAAGTTATTTATATAAAACATCGCAGGATTCTTCTGAAACTCATGTTGTAAGAAAAAGCAAACGCAAGCACAAGGCTACAGTCTAAATATGCAATTTATTTACACATTTTTTCAGGGCAAATTATCTTAAAATCTAACATGACATAAAATATTATACAATTTTTGAAGATGAATTCCATCCGCTGTGCCCAATCAGCAACATATCCCATTATCAAATGTATCTGAGGACACTCCCATGTTAAGTTCTAAATATACTTCATGAATCATGCCTTTTATCTGACAATTTGTGACTAAAAGAAAGCACAGAACCCTGAGCTCATTTCTGAATCTCTGTTCTGTACAAGTAAAGTCAAACTATGGTCAATTCAAACAGACATTCTTTTAACAGTTAGATTAACAGGTAGATTAATGTCTATCACAAATCACAGTGTGTTTTTTTAATCAGCGTCTTCGCCTCCTGACTTTTCCCTGTGACCTGCAGGATGGCGTGCACAGGTGAAAGTCAAATAACCACTGTTGCTCTCCCGTTCTTATATCTACAGAGAAAGAGCAATGTTTGCCAGCGTCGATGGAAACTGAGATTCGCTGCCGGTCAAACAGACTCATACAAATCCTTTCAATCTACATGAGCTCAAGGTAGGGGAGCTTATCTGTGTTGTCCAAACACTGATTTCATCACAGCTCCTACAAAGAGCATTAACTCCCTGAACTTTTACATGTTTTATACTTTTACAACACTGAGATAGGGTTTTTTATTACGCTCCATTTTAATAGCTTCATGTCAAAGGGAAATTTGTATTCAGGGGCATCTCGAGGGGGGGGTTGGGAAATATTAAACTCTGTCTGCTTTCTGTGTAGAAATGAGCTCTTTTTTAAAGGGAATTAAATTATATATTGTTTTACAGGCTTGCCAATTGATAGTTAACCAACAAATCATTTAGTAAAATCTTATTGAACGGTACAGAGCAACAGCAGTGACAGTAGAGAGTGCACGTACCCAGCCTGGATGCTACATTCAGTCTGATTTGGTAGAGACTCAAAAAGCGGACACATGTAATCCCTGCCAGAGCAAGAAATCCGCTCTTACACATACAAACATGTTCATGGTACACACAGGTCTGGCCTCAGACTGCTTTTAGGTCACAGGATATTTTGCTAAACAAAGCTTTCAGAGCTAAGGGGATTAGACTGGTGGGAGGATGCATCCTGATAGGGTAGAAGGAAATTGCAAATGTTTCTAGCTGAATATGTGGAGACTAGAGCTCGGTGGTAAAACCTGGAACAATAGCAACGCAAGGTTTGACTCTGTAAGCCCCAGCAAGGTAATGTTCAGACCTTTATACTGTTTGGTCTGATGTTTATCTTTGGCTATAGGAGACATTTGTTAGACTCATTTATTTGATGAGGTAGTTTTTAAAGTGACATATTGTGTTGTGGAATGAGTAATATCCATCATATCAAACTATCGAGAAAGGAATTTTAAATGTGCCTCTTTCTAATAAAATTGTAGGGGTAAACAACAGTGGCCGAGACAGCTCAACGCACAGCAAATTCAGAAAACAAATGCAAATAGTGATGAACCTGGCTGTAGTGCAATGCTTTGTGAAGTTATTGAAGTCTACTACTCGTCAGTGGTGATGGAACTTGAACTACAAAGCATGAAGCATTGAACTAGGGCCTGGTTCATCATCTTTTTGGGTCCACCGGCAACATTTCCGTTGTTGTTTTCGCAAATTGCAGCAAGTTTCTGTATTTGCCTGTGTTTTTTCTATTTGCATGTGTTTTTTTTCTTTGCAGTGCGTTGAGCTCTCTCAGCACCTTAGTTCACACTGTTTACAGGTTAAAATGTTTATATTTTTTCATGTGAAGTTGCAGTTTAAAGCAGTTCAAGTGTCAGTTGAACCTGAAACACTGACAGGGTTTTAAGGGTTGTGTGACATTTCGGTATTGAAAAGAAGTCAGTAAATAAGTAATTGCATCAGCAGGGAAAGAAGTTAAACTCTCAGTCGAGGTGTAAAAGACAAAAAGTTGAGCCGTCATTCTAAAAGTAAGTAAGCAATGGAAGAAGTAAAATGTTCAGTTAAAGATGAACTTTCAGAAATGAAGTTTGTGTCCTGCTAATAACTGAAGTGTAAGTTTAATACGTAAGAGCTGAAAGTGTCTGTTGATGAGGACTGACGTCTGTGGACAGTTGGAGCTGCAGTAAAAGGAGTAACATTCTGTCTTTACTGCTCGATTGACTGTAATTGATGAGAGATCATGATTCCTGTGGTTTTCTGTCCCATGATCTTATCAGACTGTGTGCTATTTACTATTGTACCATATAAATGTAAAAAACTAAACAATGCATGGTTACACAAACCAAACTGCAGAGGAGGTAAACCATGGGGGTAATTTAATATGATGTTGGGACTGATACAGGGAACAAGCTGAGCTATGTAAGTGATAGGATGTATCAGCTCGGGGAGTTAATGATGAATCTGTGGCTACTGGTTCATACACCGGCAGGTTCTTCACCGCTGTATCCTCTGTAAGAAGATCAGGACAAACCCAGAGACCAACGTTCACATTTCACTCTGAGGAAAAAAACTTGACCCTGTATTAATAGAACGTTAGTGCGGCTCCGCGCCCCGGCTCAGGTACAGTGAACCCACAGGAGACATTAAGAGGCTGAGAGCCATAAATTAAACAATGCCATGACGCTGCTAAGATCCCAGATTAATCACATTAACCCTCTGGAGGAGGCTGCGGAGTGCCGTCACTCACATCAGGAGCTATTTCTGCTCATCATCTTACCTTCACTCTCCAATTTCTACTGCTGTTTGCCAGACAGGCCTTCAGAGGGATGACTGTCAAATGATGATAGGAAATTTGTTTTTGATGCTTTTCATAAATGTGCGTGAAATAAGTAGTGTATTAAAAAAGGATATGGCCCAATCTCAATTTTCTGTATTAAATTCTGTTGCTATTTTCAGTTAAAAAAAAGGTTGACAGATTATTTAGCTTGTATTTCAATACATGACACAACAACATTCTCTAAATAGCAGAAGTTGCATCATGTTCTTTCTGAACATCCTGTGTTGACATAAACAAAGCATTTTCCTCCATCACAGTCTCGTACTAATCTACAACCCACAGTCTACAAATAACATATCAAATCATTACTATGGATAAATATCTATCCATCTGCCATGGCTTAAAATAGCTGACATAATCCCTGCAAAGGCCCACACAGTTGTAGCAAAGATGCTGGAACAGGCATCAAACACACTGACAAAGCAAAGATATAGTGTGCAGCACTCCGGTTACCTCATGTAATGGTTCTGTGAATCAAACTAAATGGACCTCTGCCACAGAACGTTTCAGTCTGCTGCACTGTGCAGTGGAGCAAGGTGAAATGTCGTAGTAGAAACTAGTGTCAGAGCACATACAGTATTATATGCTAAAAACCTGAATGGAAACTCAGAGGTATCATGTGTACTCACGCTGCAGAGTACTCTCAAGCTGGGAGCCAGCCTGCAGGAGGCAGCGGTAGCTCTCCATCTCCTCCTTGGACTTTTTCTCCGGCTCTCTCTCCTCCTGCAGTGAGGCTGGGCCCATTCCCCCTCGACCGAATCAGGATCAAGCTGGGAGAATGGACTCTGTTGTGGGAGGTATTGACAGTGGTTCAGGCCTCATATCCTTATCAGAGCCCTCTAGTCTTCCATAGTGTCCGCATGTAAAGGCCGAGAGCCGCAGCAGGGAAAGTTAGGTCCTCTTGCCTCCGCAGGTCCCAAGATCCAGATGGGACAGTTCCCTGAGGCTGCTGCTGGATCCTCCTGACCTTGAGCTGCATAGAGAGTCTCTCACAGCTACATCACAAGACCTGGCCACAGAAGCAGAAAACAGAGGTTTGCTATCCTGTTGTGTCCCAGACACTGGCTGAGATGTGCTTTTCCCCCTCATGCACACTAGTGCCGACAGACTGTCCTGCTCTCAGCAGCAGTCAGCTACTCCAAAACAAACAGGCTCCATCTGGACACTGCTGTCTGTCTCTCTCGCCCCTCCCCTATGTGAGCTTCAGTGCGTCAGCTCTGCACAGTGCAGAGCTCAAGAGTCCACTCCTGACACACTGCCAGCTCCCTCCCAACTTTTCCTCTCACTCCACACTTGCATGCTCCTTTTTGCTGTTTCCTGTAAGTGTTGTGCTGACTGTATCATACAGTGAGGTTGTTTGGCTGCTGGGTTCATTAGCCCACTTTGTCCATCCATATTTCCATACTGATGCACACACAGAGAATAGATCTGTTGTAAAAATTTAAAATCTAACGCACCCTCTGCCAACAAGCTCAGCCCATGTGAAGTGTGGCCTCTAATACACAACAATCACATTCAGACAAGAACAAATATGAAAGGGTGTCATTGTGTACATACTGATACACAGAGCCTGTCTCAGTTCCCTACTGCTCAGCCCACAGCTACTATGAATGGATCAGTCCTCAATGACACCAGAAATGTTCTATATAAATGTATTCAAAGTTTGTCTACAGTGACTCACTGTGTTTGATGTTTTCTTGATGTCGGGCCACACATGGAGCAGTGGAAGAGCAGCAGTGCTCCAGCCTGATACGCAGCCACTCAGCTGATCCAGCTTAGCCTCTCAGCCATCTCATTACTGCACAGCATCTGCTTAGTGTGGTTAAAGACACACACACAGACACACACACACATCGGACAAAGCCTGCAGACACAACTGTGGGTGTAACAAAGCACTATAACACATTTTATCTTCAAAACATTCTGCTTTATTACAGAAGAACTTCAGGTTTTCGATACACTAGTTTCAAAGAGGTACATTCAGCTTAGAGGTTTGGAGTGTTGAGGCTGGAGGAAGCTGGAGGGCTGGAGGTGGCGGGGGTGTCCCTGCTGTGCGACACGTCGCTGCTGGGGTGCCTGAAGGTGTCCACCTCCACCCCTCACAGACAGCATCCACAGCCACAGAGCCTCTCGTGCTTTTTTTGGACATTTTGGTTATCGTACAAAAAAGTGGCTGGAAAAAGGTTGCATTAAAAATACAATTCATTCTTTTTATAGTTTTCATTAGACAGGCAAAAAATTAGATTACAAGAAAATAGCATCTCTGATGTCACTTAAAGGTTTTTTCATTAAACAAAGCAGGCAGCCCCTCTCAATGTATCCTCTTACATCCAGTATATCACCAACACAGTGCAGCCAGAGTAAAAACTGCCTCCTCTGCAAACCGAACATCAGTAAAACAGACTTGAAAGTAGAAAATGAAGCTGAAATGGATGTACATTTTCCCATTTATGAACAAATCAATATTAACCTGATCAAAATCTCCACTTGGTTTTATGACTGCATGTGCCATTGTGTAGATGCACCGGATCAGACTTGTCAGGCTACAGTCAGTGGAGTAAAATACAAGACCAGCACTAAAAAGTATTGTACTGGAGTTTTTAAACTTTCAAATCAACATACTGATAGATTGTATAACAAAACTCATGGATCATTGTAGAAACAATTACTCATCAGTTTAAACCAAGAGTTACGTCACAGAACGAGGGGTGGCACTGGTTCAGAGGCTGATTTTTGCATGTTGGGAGTGTGGGATGGGGGGGCTGCCTGTCTTTGTATATATGACAAAGACAATCATGGGATTGGCACAGGCTGACATCAGGGCTGGGGTAACACAGGCTAACTCAAATGACCAACAAAGCTGACCACTCCTCCCCAATAATAACAGACTTATGTAATGAAATATAATAATTGTGAGCTAAATGACACAACAATAAATATGCCAAACAATACACGTCCATGAAGAAAAAGCATAAGCACAAGTATTTCAAAACAGTATATTTTAAGAGTTTGGAACAATGGCATGTCTAAATGGAATGTATGAAGCACTACACAAAAGACGTTAAAGGCCGAACAGTCCCAAAACAAGAAAGAGGACGGAGTGTGGAGCCTCATGCTAACATTTACTATGTCGACTCTGCAGGTCTGGAGTTGGTTTTCTTTACATCCCAACTTCAGCCTGACTGAGAAGAAGTACATGATCTAGATGATGGATAATGAACATAAAGTAAATACCTCATTTAGGCTCTAGTGCATGTGTGTATTAAGTGTACAACGTGTGTGGTGACTGTGTATAATGTTCTCAGCTATCAGATATGTGCATGTGTATGCTCAGACATACTGAATACACGTGCTATCTACGCAATGAAGAAACGGTAATAGTGCAGGAACCGTCTGACCGAACTACATCAACGAGGTTCAAGTAATTCCGGTATTCATCACACACACACTGACATATCTCAATTTTCTCATCCAGTACAAGTTGCACATGACACACGACAATGGGTCACTTCCAGATCACAGAATCTGATCGTATTACGTTCATCTTTTTGGCTTTGAGCAGATGCTGTTATACATCTCTTACCTATATACAGTACAACACATATATTAAATATCTCATCTAAATTGGACTCTCTTAAATTATCTCTGAGGATGGAGGCATAGTTTTATTGCCAGAATAGGCTTGTTGTCTCTAATCTATCTCTCAATCTTACATACACATACGCACGCACGCACACACACACACTTTTTGGACTGAGTGGTAATATGGTCTGTATTAGCTCGTTCTGAAAACTGTTTGTTTGCAGCTCTGAGCTGAATTGAAATTATATTCAATAACTTTTTAATTTTGAACCTGTGGATGAGAATATTTCTGAAACACAAAATAAGAATAACCATAACCATTGAAAGCGTATTAACTGTAAAGTAGAAGAACCTTTTCAATGTGTAACTAGTGAGAAAGGGATCTCCGTGTCTTTATAAAAACTTAGCAGAACACAGTGACTGAACATCAGTGGAGTAAAGCTTTCTTTTGAGCCTTCTTTCATGCAGGTGAACCATTCTTGGAGTGGATATCACAACTGCTTGTTAAAACACAGCAGTTAGAGCTACTGTCAAGGCAGAAGTGTATGCATTCAATTGGAAGCTAGTATTTAAAAAAGAAGTAAAAAGAAAGAAAACTCATGCCTGTCATTTTAGTAGACATTTTAAAAAAATGATGCAGGGCACTGCTCTGCAGGCATGCACGGGGGGGGGTTAGGAGCTTTTGGGATTGAGCAGAGAAGGACGGAGCAGAAAGACACGTGTCAAAAGGCTGCTAAATCCCTTTACATCCCATCCCCCAGTCAGCATATCTCTCTTTTTCTTCTGATTTTTTTCCTTCTCTTCATCTCCTTCTCCTCTTTTCAGGTCAGCTCTGACCCAACTGGCACGACATCTTGAATGTGGCAGACGCCACTGTTGTTGTGAGTCCTCGCCGCCTTTTACTCACACTCCTTCAGATGCTTGTACGATATTAGTGAGACAGATGCATTCTGGAAAAACAGAGAAGCAGAAAGATTCAACTTATATGTTTTCATAACAAGCTTGTTCCAATAAGAGAAAAGAGGACGAGACACCTTGAAATCACCCCAAATCAAAATAAAAGGTAAGAGGCCACCTTATACGTTATATTATTATAATTATATATATAATTTTCTCATCGATGTTTATTGATCTGTTGAAGCCATGCATGGACATTGAACAGACGGTTAGGTTCATCTCTTTGCGGTTTACCTGGATGTTTGTAGGAGGCGACCATCTGAGAGCTACAGGGAGGATAGAAATAAAAGTTTAACAGTGAAAGCTGAGGTAAAAAGCTTGGTGCAAATGTAAAGCAACAGATGTCGGTGAGCCTGGGCAGTGATGTGAAGACATTGTGAACAATGTTCAGGCCTATCAACAGGGGGCAGCACAAAACATGTGAAAACACCTTAAGACCTCCAACACTTCTGCATAGTTACCCTTATCATTTACCCACGGAGACCAAAGTATTAAGATGTAATATAAACAATAATGAAAACAGACAAAATATTTAATAAACCATAAAACTTTATAATTATGTTTTTTAAAGATTAATCAAGGTATAAGGTTGTTCTTATTTAATCTGTTTTTATTCAATGTTTTAGTCAAACAGAGCAGAGGCAGTGCTGTGATTGGATGTTTGCTCATTCAGACCAAAGCATCGGCCAATAAATTAACACCGATTCTGCCCTTTTTGTCTTGATTGACAAAATTTTGAACAAACTGAATTAATTTATTGGAATATTTTATAACGTATCTTTCACATTTTGTTGGTATATATTTATATGATTTGTTACATAACACATATTTAATGGTGAAAACTTAAAAGTATTTTGTCTTTGTGTTTCCATTTATTTTGCTGTTTACCCCCTGTAGTTAATGCAGCTGCATTCAGCCTGAGGTTAAGGCAGCATCACGTCATGCTCTGCACTCACAAAATACATCCATCATTTTTCAAGAGATTAAGCAGACGACAACCACCAGCACAGGTTTGGATGTGCACACAAGACGGAACAAAAACCACCACATTACAAACAGCACATGAATATCATATTGGGGTTGTTATAATCACAGAGCAGCTCTATTGTTTCATACTTTCAGGTAAAAAACTCACATAAACAGACACACCCACACACTCAGAAGTTTCTTCTTCTTCTGAGATGAACTAAAAGTAAAAACATTCAAAATCTGATTTTTAAAAGCACATGCAGGGGTAAGCTGGGGTTCAAAGGGAGGCTGAAGGGAACATGTGCCACAGATACAAGTTTCAATTTGCAATATGAAGCCTGGTGATGCATTCATATTATATTATATCAAAGAAATGCACCATTTGGCTTTTTAAACCAACGAAATAACAACACAAAATATGGGGTTGACGTGAAAGAAATGTATCTCTTCAGCCAGCCAATGGCAGCTTACACACAGGAACACAGTGGGTCTTGCTGGATGTGACCAGTTTGTCATTATGCCTGATTCTCTTGTTTAAACCCAGAGTTAGGGTCCAGGACTGCAGGAGAGGTTGGTTGGGAGAAAAAAAGTATTTGATTGGCTTAATGGCCTGAAGATGGTCTGGTACCTGCTTAAGTGACAGTATTGGACTCATCAGAAAAGGTTCTCATGAGCAGGGGTCTGGCTGAAGACTGGGGAGACTGGAGTCCCCCCACGCTCGACTGAACCAGCTTCTTCTAGAAGGGTGAGGCAAGAGACACCAATAACATCACTACACTGACAGAACCATACATACTTCGTCTCTCTGTCTCCTGCAGACTTAAAGACATACACAGAGAACAAACATACGAAGACTCAAAAACTGGACAGGTGGTTGATGAAATTAAGTCTGGCTGCCTTTTCAGGATACCTTTCCTTGCAATAATAATTTTCAGACATCTTGACTCAGTCCAGATTAATCCATTGCTACCATACTTAAAAATTTGGCAGAGGAATGTACAGAAAACACACACACACACACACTCTCACGCACTAACACACACAAACAAAATGCAGTGGCCTGCAGGGATTGTGGTGAGGATCTAGGATGAGGTTTACTTGAGCCTCATGCAGGTTAAGTTTGGTTATTTTGACGTGCTGCATTCATCTAACTGGACATGCGGAGGCAGCAGGCACTGGAGCAGCACAGGCAGCTGGGAGGAGACTGACTGAGACAAGTGGACAGACAAAGATGGAAGACTGACTGCACATTTTCATGGACACCAGGTCCTACTCCACACTGCTGTCAGAGCTGGGCACACACCATCCCAATTATCAGTATTGCTCACAATTTTCATAAATACAGATCTAAAAAAAAGCATTTAAGTCAAATTTAAAGATCAGAGCCTGCAAGGATGGCATTCCTAAGGTAGTTACATTAAAAGTAACGATAATCGGTTTTAATCTGATCTAAACCCTCCCACTGAATGGGGACTGTAAACAACTACAGAACACCAGCCTGAGTTCTTTTAGAGGGGAAGGAAGGAGTCTAACAGTGGGAGAGGAAGGACACAACAGTTAGGAAATAAGCAAGACTGGCAGACACAGAAACTCTGCAGGAAGAGTCTTAAGTATAAGAGCTGACAGAAAGAGAGAGCGAGACCTCAGTCGCTCCATGAGAAGCTGTGAGTGCTAGCGGTCTGCGACAACATGAAGATAGTGGATGTCCCCGAGGAAGGAAGGCGATGTTTCATCTTTAGGGAGGCAGGTCCAGAGTGGAAGAAAGAAGATAGAAGAGGGTGAGACAGAGTGAGAGGACCAAAGCAATAGTACTCGTTAGAAAAACAAAGGTGGAAATGACAAAAATAGGCTAAAGGGGATGATGTTCTAAAATACAATAAGAACCATCATTTAATCCTGTGGACTGTAGACACTAACAAGATTGTTAAGTTTCTATACATTTTATGATTGATTCTGCCACTTACTGCTGCTTCTTACTTACTGCTAACTACAGATACATTCAAAACAGAATAAACAAACAAATATATGCATTGTAATAAGTACATATTGTACGTATATTTGTACATATGTATTTTTGGCTGCCTTCAAAATTGTGCAAAACAATGGTTTGATTCATTAGTTTTCCCAAATATTTTTTTTGTGTGGAATGTTCCCAGAAGCACACCTATACCCCCAAACATTTCCAGCTGTGTGGAAATCACATTAGTCTCATTAGAAGCTAATTGAAATGACAAAAATCATACATTGATTTAAACTCCTCCCATAACTAAATCACCAACCATGTATTTTGCTTCACTTGTAAATACATCAAGGATGAACACAGTTATTGAGAACCGATACATTGAGAAAACAAATGCATAAAATTGGGCCGGAGAGTTGACAGAATGGGAAAGAGGCAGACAAAGAGGGAGAGAAAGTGAAGAAGAGTGCAAATGTGTGTGTACCTGTCGAGTGTGGGGGCTACGGGCCTTGCGGAATACTACAAGCAGGATCTCTGGCAGTAGACTGAGCAGGACGAGGAGGATGATCACCAGCCAGGCTGACACTGAACTCAGCATGTTGGCAAACACAAAGTACAAACGCTGCTGGCTCAGGAAAGGCCTGCAGGAAAGAGAACACTCACTGACTTATAATGGCTGGAAGAGCCACAGGGGTCGCATAAAACAGAAACATAATAGATGAAGTACAATGACTACTGAACACATAAGATAAGTAATTTTGAATTGTTTTCTAACCATATTGTTCCTCCCCAAAGGAAGCTGAAAAACACATAGAAAGCCAGAGATCCCCAGATCATAAAGTGGTTGATCCATGTCCAATGTCGTGTGTCCAGAGCAAGCTAAAGCAAAAAGCAGAGTAAAGTCAATAAATGCACATATTGAATATCTGACAGACTTTGCCAAAGTCTGTGTTCTGAAAGATAATGTAATGCATTATTTCATTAGATGAGATAAATAGGGAGTG